TTCCGCGGGTCCGGGCCACCGCCGGCGGTGAGGGGGCACCCGGCGCGGGGTGGGGGAGGCTCCTCGGCCTTGCTTAGCCTTTGCCGGTGAATAGGAGCACGGCGACTGCGGGCTCTGCGTGTTTCCACCCGTGGCCCCAGCTTTCACGGGGAGATGCGCGTTGCCTTCGAGTTTATGCTGGTCTTTGCAGAGCTGGCTTTGATGACTTGCTCTGTGGGATCAGGGGTGATCGCTTTGGAAAGCAAACCGTGTCCTTTGGGTTGGAAAACCAGCGATATTTGAAGGAGCCGCAGTGAATCAAAATGGTAGGGAGATTGCGGGAGACAGGTGGGCCTGAACTGTAAAAATGCTTACTTTTAAATAATCTCAAAACCCCAGCTTGACTCTTTACCCTGTCACCCGATTTTTTTGTACGATGCACGTTTTTTAGTGTGGCTTTAACAGCGTATCAGCGCAGTATTACTCGTTTTGCTTTGCAAGAAGTAAATACTTTTATTGTGTTGAGACATGCGTTGCTTACAGCAGCGCGGTTGAGTTGTTTTCGTTTCCCCATGTGCACAAATTACACTTGTGTGCTTAACGCATGTTGATAGCAGGAAAAAGGAGAACCTAAGAAGTGTAAAAGTGCAGATGTTCCCAGAAATTCAGTGTGGTTTACATTGGGGATAATGAATGCCATGAGGAAAAACTGTTTGGTGGGAATAGGACACTAGAAATAATTCCTCATGATCTGGGATAACAGGGGCTGTGCCCGTGCGTTTTTGTTGTGCTGCCTCCGCTTGCAACCCCAGCTCTTGGAGGTTTGTCCTCTGCTGTCCTTGTCCTATGGCGAGCTCTTTAATTGCAGACTGACCTGATAATGTATCTTTTGGTAACATCAAGGAATTCTTTCCGTTTGTTAGATGCCTCAAACTTGATGGCAAATTGCGGAGCGTCTCTTGCGTTGGAGTAAGAAGCAGGAAGAGCTCATAAAAAGTGCCTGCAGGGGAAATTGTACCTGGGTATCGTAATGCTAAATGACAGGCTGTTCCTGACCCAAATACTGTACTTATTTTTCAGGCCTTGGTTGTTACCCTCGGAGGTGGGAGTACCAACGGCCATACTTAATTTTTTTCCTCTTAATTCCTGTGCCCCAAAAGAGGGCTGTAGTCGCTCGATCAGCGTTTCAGGTAATGCTGTTAGCTGCTGGAGCGGGCTGTCTGCACTTTTCTGCATTTTGCACTTCTTCTGATGGTGCCCTTTCCAGCGCAGTTCTTCGTGACTCTTTCCTGGTTTGGCTGACTGGAACATTAATGTTTATTTTGATGCTGAGACTGGTGCTTCTGTTTGAACAGATTTGGAATTGATGTCTGCTCCCGTGATAACTTAAAGAAGGACTATTTTTTATTTATTTTTGTTTGCATTGATGGTTAACTATATTTTAAGTGTTACAAGTGTGTTATAAATTGAGAACATACTTAAAATTGTGATCTAAATGTTAACAGAGAGGAAGGTAAATGTTATATTCTGTCATGCAGTTTATATCAGTGCAGTTTAAATAATTGTAATCAGCTTTTGGTTGTGGGGTTTTTTTTAGATAAGCTAAAATAATCCAAGTTTTAAACACTGGTTAGTTTGTTTTTGTTGGTTTTATTTCGGTGTATAAAGCTTAGAAGTAGGCAGATGCAGTATTTTGTTTGTATTTCTATACAAATTCTTTCAATTCTTTTTCCTGTGCTAGGTCTTCCTTCTTTTCAGTGTTTAATTTGCATTAGGTACTTTGCTCGGTTCGGTGTTGCAGTGAGTGGATAATGTCTTTGAGAGCTTAGCTTTGAAGGGGATTAGAATGTGGATACATAAGGACAAAGTGATATAAATCCTGAAATTTGCACCCGGTTTGGAAAGTCCAATGTTGGAAAAACATTGCCCATAGCAACTTAGATTGCAGAGCAACAAGAAGGTGAGGAGCTAAGGGTACGTAATGGCACTAAAATTGAGCAAAATGGCTGTTCTGTCATTTGCTTGAAGATGTAATGAGGATTTTAATGGCTTATTCTACATTGTGATGGAAGCTTTATGAAAACATGTATGTCCTTTTAAAACTTAGGTATTTCAGCAGTGGGTTTATAGGTACGTCTTTGGGACGTGTGTTTTCACTACTAATTTTCTAAAATACCAGATTAGCAGGAAACAAAAAAATAATTTATTCTTAGGTCTGTTATTGGAGTTCCATGGGATTCAAAAAAATACTTTGTTTGTTTGAGAAAAAGGTAATAGTTTTGCCTACATTACAGTGACAGTAGACATGCAAAGCTGTACCAACGTTCTGCCTAGGTAAGAGGCTGGTTGAACAACCAGCTCTGTTTGTTAACTGGTTGGGCTTCGCTGTCCAGCACAGATACCATCTGCATGAATCCATTGGACAAACAATTTTTTGAAGGGGAAAAAAATACTTATCTACTAGGTTTATGAATTTAAATTTGTTGTCTGGCCTGTGTTGTTTGTGAATCTTTGAGTTGTGAAAATTGTTAATAAAATGAGCTGAATGGATAGAAGTCAGGTTTATATTTTGCTCCTAAAAACTTCTTTTTGCATGCTTGGACTTCCTTTTTGGGGAGGGTAGCTGAAAATAAGATTTGCTTTACTTTCTTACAAAGAAAATGTTAGGTGGTTTTGCCTGGACTAATCCTGGAGCTGGAAGAAAGCAGTGAAGATCAAATTGAGATGGCTGCATGTGATTTGTGTTGGGCCCAGAAGTGTTTTAACGATGCAGTTAACTAGTTCACATGGCTTCATACTGGATCTAACAGGTTCTCCTGGGAGACTTTGAGAAGCCCGAGAGAGGTCTTCTCATTTAGCCTTTCCCTGCGTGGATGTGGCTGGCTACTTCTGGATTAACAGACTTCGCATATTGCGGTATGCTTCCTTGACTTAGGTCCTGACTAGGAAGGGATCTTTGCACCGTACTCTGCCATCACTCACTCTTTGTCTTGCTAAGAAACCTCTGAGCGTTTGTTTGTGTACTTCACTGTCATCTTGACCGGTAGCACGTTGGGGTATGTCCGGGCATAGTGCCCCCCTATAGCATGGTGGTTGTCTCGGGGTAGTAATTAAAAGTAGTGAAAGGAGAGTGATGTTACGTAGTTAGCTGGATCTAGCTAGCTCCTTTGAAGGTGAGGAAATCCAAAGAAATATTACATCTACCTTCATGATAATTCCCCTTTTGCAGTCATGCTTAACACTGGGTTGTTTGTCCTTTAGAGTTTTGCTGATAGACTGATGAAGCTTGTCGTTTTGTATGTTTTGACAGGCAGGCTGATAAAACAACATGAAGATGCCTAGATTTGGGGTAGAGCTGCATCTTTCTGCTATAGCTTTCTACAGAGATTTTAACATGATCTAAATAGTGAATGAATTTAAATAACGAAATGCTTTTGCAAGGCAAGAGGGAAGAGTCTTCAGTGTACTGAAAAAAAAAAAAAGAGTCAGACCTTAAATTCAGTCTTTTCACTGTAAGGTGTGAGGCAAAGAAGTACAGTCGAGGGTTGATAGCCCAGAACACGTTTATAGAGCTGTGTAGGTAAGTGAGGGTGGGCCTTTCCCCAGAAGGATGCAGAAGCGGAGTGTAATTTCTGTTCTCACAAAGTCTTTCTGATCTGTACAGTGATTACTGGCAGTTCACAGTAAAGCCATTAAGAGTAAGAACGAGTGTTCTAAAAAATTTCCATGTGAAGCTTCCTATTTTTAAAAAATGTCAGTTGTATACCTGTCCATTATACATACATATGTTTTATGGTAACATGCCTGTATGTTGGGAGCTTTTCAGATATTCAGGAAGGAATAGTTAGCATTCTGGGGAGCTTCTAAATAAAGGGCAGACAAGTTTAGGGGAAGAGGAGGTTATTTTTCCCCTGCCCCTTTTAGATTGACGTTCCGTGTGGGCAGACGTAAGTTGTTGTTAAGCAGAGAGTATGAGAACAGCTGACAAGTGAAGGTGAGAGCAGAGCGGTAGTGCAAAACGTGCAGAGTGAGAAGAGGTGCCTGTGTGCGTGTACATATCTTAATGCATCTAGACAGGAAAATACAGTTCTGAGAATAGTTTACTATGAAAGTACGGTGACACGTTTGAGACACTTGGTTGCTATCTATTTCCTTTAAATTAAATTCTAGGCAACTTGCTTCAAATAACAGTTTTGTACGACTAACTTCCAAGCATAAAACTCTACGCTACGGGGGAAATAGTTTTTAATAATGCATTTAAGAATTCATTATGTTAATACAGGTACAGTGAAAGAGTCTGGTGAGAAACATAAGGGATCTGTTGAAATTCCTAACCTGTCAGAAGAAAATGAGGTAGATGATACAGAGGTAGGTGTGAAATACTGATATGGCTGTATAGGTTCAGAATTCTTAAATAAAGCATTAATCAACGTCTAGGCATCATGTTTTGATTTATGCTGTGATCAAGTGGGATAATTACATTTGGATAGTTTATTTCATGTTTTTGTTTTTTAACTTGGAATAACAGCTTACCTCTGTTCTGAAATTTACCTACTAGGAATGTGCACAATCTTTTTTGCTAATTACTATTTGTGACAATATATTAACTACAAATTTGAGAACTCTGCTTGTTTGTAGCCTTAAAAACAAACCACCCCACCAAAACCTGAGAACTTAAGGAATCTCCTTGTTGGCTCTGTAGCAGTTGATACTGTGGCTTCCACAGATTCCTCAGCCTCTGCTGTGTAGTAGGCAACTCTGTAGTTGATGAACGTGACAAAGCTACTGTGGAGATGAGATGCTACATTTATTTAAGTCAAAACCCAAGAGGACTTATTTTTAGCAAAGGTAGGATAAACTGAGAAGATAATGAAATTGAAACTGCAGCTGTCCTCTGAACACAGTAGTCAAAGCCAAAATACTTTCCTTTGTTGCCAGAACCCAAAAGGCTCATGCTTAGACGCCTCTTAGATCTTGTAATTTTTGTTTCTAGATAAACGTTAGCAAAAAGAAAGGTGAAGGCGATGTTCTGAAGGACCTTATGAGAACTGAAGGAACCACAAAAGTCAGAGAGGCCCTGAGAGATTATCTGAAAGCACTTAAAACAGGTAAATGAAACCAGTGTGTTAGGTATGTTTTTATGCCGTTCTTTTTTCTTGAATAGACCGGTAATATATTGACAAGTCCTTGGGTTTGTATTGTTTTTATTTGTGATTGTCACCAGCCGAGATGAAGTTAGTCAGTCCTACCAGTCAAAATCTCGATTGCTATCAAACGTGGTAGTGTCCAGAAGTTTCTGTAGTGGCCCAGGCTGTGTTGCGTTACACGTACTGACCGCAGCGATCACTAAGACCTGCAGGCTGACTGGTTGGCCAGCAAAGCAAGGCCCAACCCTCACCTGGTCATTTCTCTGCTGTACTGTTAGAAGTTTGTGGAGATGGTGCATTCCTTAATGGGCAGATGTTACTAATTTTGGGTCAGGTAACTTTCAAAACCCTGTGTTTTTAAGGGAAATTGCTGTTAGACTCTGTTGCTAATAAAAACCTACGGGTAAGGTGGGGAAACGGGATTGGAGGTGTCTGTCCTGTTCTGTGCTCCCATTCTACACATTTCCCTCATTCTCCACAGTTTTGGCCAGCAATCTTCACTACATGCCTAAGTGTCAGGGGGGTTGTACAGCTCAGTGTCATACTGAAAAGTGCTTTTCTTTATTACAGAGTTTACCTTGGGAATGATTCTGCCAACAAAAGCTACTGTTGGGCAGGAGCTGGCTGCTGAGCGAAAACTAAGTGGGAACACCGTGCAAGTATGTCAGCTTTAAGTGTTGTACAAGTTTAATTTTACCGTAAATGTAGTCCCTACAGATTTTGCTGTGTTAACAGTTGCAGATTCCTGCGATTACCTGCAAAAGTGAAAGCCTTTGGGGTGGAACTGCCTCCTCGTGGCTGTAATCAGGGCCTGTAATCCAGAAATGACCCGTCACAGGTCCTGGGCACGGGTCTGCCGGCCGCGGGAGGGGGACAGCAGCATTTATGTTCCCCTTCATGCTTTGTTCCCTAACGGCTGTACCTTCAACACGGTGAAGCTGGAATTCACCTGCATGGATCGCTTCCCTCAGTCTACAGTTAGCTTCAGGCGTCTCTGGAGTGAATCACAGAGAGTTTTTCACTTAATTTAGTAAATTCCGATTAATACTACTGTTCAGTAAATATGGAAGTATGTTGTAATAAGTAATGTATATTCACAACACAGCATGTTTAAGAATGCACAGGTAACACAAGTTCTGGAATGGCAGGACTGTTAAGTGTTTGATCATTCACACGAATATTTTTTTGCTTTGCAGGATTCTGTTTCACCACAGCCTTTGGATATACTTGGTGTAAAAATTCCAACAGTGAAGATATTTATGAGAGAAATCTTCAACTCTCCAGCGGACGAACTTTATAGTGTCTTCACAACTAAGGAAGTAAGTGATACTTTCAGTAGGCAATGTAACTTGATGTGGCTGCTGTTACATCTGAATAGTTGTGCAAGTAGTGTGTCACATACATTCATAGTGTCAAGCACAGCGAATACTCCTTAAGTACATGAAATGGAGGGATGTGATCGTGCAGAAACGGAAGGCCTCGTGTGGCACCCTTTTCTCGTAACCTCACTAAACATTCGTAAATCTGATTGTCTTTATTGGCTCTTCAGGTTTTGCTGAACAGCTTCACCTTTTAAGCCACTGTGGAATTTCAGTGGGGAAAACGCAAAAGGAGTTGGCAGTTGCTGCAGCAGTGTGTCAGTTTGGTCTCCTACCAAGGAACAAAGGCTCGGTGGTTGACAACAACTTGTCACGTTCTGGCGCTAGCAATCAGAAAGCACTAGAAGGTGGCAGTAGGGTCACTCTGCTTTTAGCTTTTTAATGAGAGCTTATTAGGGTGGCTTAGACCTTCTTGTTTTTTCTTTTTTGCCTGTTGTTACCTTAGTAGGAAGACAAGCCAACTAAACAAAGTGAAGTTTCAGCTTTATGTAGGTTGTACGTAGTACGTAGCTTGGTCATGCTCGCCTTTGGCGCACTTTTCTGTTGGTTTTTGATTTCTTTTTTTTTTGTTTTTTTTTTTTTTTTAAAAATGTGGGTACTTGTTGTTCAGGAGCCTGAAGGGCTCAATGATGACACTGTTGTTATCCACTGCTTACAGGTTAATTACATTAACTAATGGATGCAATGATACTGTTGCTTATAGGGTATGAAATATAAAATTACTAATTTGGGGGGGGTTGTCCTTCGAAAGACCCCAGGTTGGTATCAGAGAACTTTGAATTATAATCCCCGCACTACCAGAGGGAAACAGTAACGGCTCTCAGCAGCTCCTCTGCACCTTCCTAGTGCTCCTGCTCCGTAGCCCTCATTTCCAGAGCTTGTAACAGCCAGTCGTGTGTCTATAGATGTAGGTATGTGCTTTCTCCATGCCCCTTGCAGGGGACTAGAGTCTTTACTGGGCCTTGTATTTAAAACTCCAGGTTTCTCAGCATTTATGTTGTCACCTCACTGTCCCCTGCCACTACCACAGAGCTCGGTGGCCTGCTGTATAAAATGAAAAGCCTGATCAGTGCTTAAAAAAACCCTCTTGCCTATATTACCATTTAGTTAATTTCTTCAGCAAACCTCCCTTGTCTCATAATACGGCGCATTATGTATCAGTACAGATTTCCACTTAACTGATGTGTGCTGTATTCTTCTTTTGCTAGCTGGTACAGAAGTTTTCTAAATGTCCTGCCGTGATTGAGGCTGAGAAAGGAGGCAAACTTCAGATGTTTGATGGCTGTGTCAGCGGTGAATATGCAGAATTGGTAAAAAGCTCCTACTTTGCACTTTAAAAATGGGGGGCGGTGGGGTGTGGGGGGGATGTTAGCTGCTTCTCTCAGCTAAAATGTACCATAAGTTTCTGACACTTCAGCTTCTCTAATGCATATTCAGTTCCTCTATTTCAAAGCCTAAAAATTGCTATTATGTTGTGCGATTTTTCTTCCCCCTCAAAAGAGCAGGCACCGACTGCACCTAATGGAGAAAACGCTCAGCACCATCCTTTTTTACTAGGAGGACTGAGAAAGCAGGTGTAAGGTGTATCTCCCAAATCCCTATCAGTTCTTCCTGTAACTGGAGAAGTGATCTCTGTTCTATTCAGGGCAAATGCTATACGCTCCCCGACTTGAATGCTTTTGCAAATAGAAGGGAAAAAAATTGATAATTAGAGCTCAGCTCCCTTTTTGAAACCTCTGAAAAACCATTTTCACTGTTGCTGAGCTTTGACTTGGTATCTTATGTCCACCTAGACGACCGGCAGTAAGTATCACTGACAACGGGACAATTTTTAAAAGAGCAAAGCCTTGGAAAATTGGAATCTCAGTTCAACCTAATAAAATTTGTTGTTGACTCCAGGAAGGGCTTGGTCTAGAAACACACACGCTGCAGAACTCTTCCACCTTAGCTTGGCTTCAGTGGTAACATCCCATGATGGAAGCCGGTTATATTCATCAACCTTTGCAATTAGATAAGAAACTATTTATATGAAACAATCAAAATACAAACTTCTTATCGGCTTCATGAAAACAAAGAGTCTGATTTAGACCAAACTTCAGCCACTTTAATGCATATGCTTATGGTGAAGCAGGACCTCCCCTTCCCACAGGAGCCCAGTTGTACATTCAGGCAGGCTGGATTGCTGAACGGAAAGTCAGGGGCGTACTCTGTCATGCTTACAAATTACAGAGGTGAAAATGTGACTCTTCCTGGTGCCCATTTCAAGGTCTGCAAGAAAAGCAATGTTTTATGTTCAAGTAACTAATCAGCCTGACCTTCTCCCATAGGAAAAACAAAACAGTGGAATGTAGCAAGCTAAGCGCTTGATGAAAACAGTTTATTTAAAAACAAATACAAACCCAAAACCAGTCTTTGTATTATTTATGTGCATGTGGTTACTATTACATAAGATAATGCTCCTCTTATTTGTCACGGGAGAATTGGCACGGAGTAGTTGTAATGTCAGTTATCTCAAACACCAGTGAGGAGAACCACCTTCTCTCCTTTACAGGTCCCGAGCCAGAGAATTGTCCTGAAGTGGAGGTGTAGAAGCTGGCCTGACGGTGAGTCTTTTTGAGCACCTCTAACTAACAGAGGCTGACACTTTGCAGGGAGAAGGAACAAAGATGACAGTTGACAGCCTTGCTGACAGGAAGCTCACTTACATCTGCGAAAAGAGGCTTCACTCAGACGCGGGCAAAAATTAGGAACAACAAATGTAATCCTTTAAAAACCACTTTACTGAAATGTTGTATTTTCTTCCTTCAGAACATTATGCAACAGTTGCTTTGAATTTCAAGGATCTGGCTGCTCAAACAGAACTGCAGTTAGAGTGCAAAGGAGTTCCCGTCTCTAACGAAGATAGTACAAGACAATGCTGGAAGAAGCAGTATTTTGAAGAAATACGTATTTTACTGCAGCAATCCAAAGACAACATGGAATGATAACAGCACTGTAGTTTTGTTAGGGCATTACTTTTTATACTTTGGTACCATTTGGTTTTTTAAAAAAAGTTATTTATTTGTGGGAAGAATAAAGGCCCACTTCTATGATACTGTATATAATTTAAGCATTATTTATGGATTTTTAGTGAATGAGGTGGTGACTAAGTCAGGCTATGTACATAAACAGCTTTATTTGGGGAAACTGAGCTCTGTTCTGCTTGCGTGCAACTTCAGAGGGTAATAATGGTTCAGCTGCAGTAAAGTACTGCCGTCCTAGGTAGGTAAGCTACATGCATCAATAGCAAGCATTTGCGGTGCGTTGATACTCATTGTATCAAGTGGCAAAATTAAATCTCTCTAGGAGATGGGGTTCCCATCAGAGGTGAACTGAAAAGGATTATAAAACTGTCGCTACATCTGATCTTTCGAGAAATGTGGGGGATATAATTTACAGCCTCTTCAAATACTACTTAAGATTGCAGACTGAATTTGTTTCTAACTATAGACAGTTTCAAGGAAAGATAATTAACAACGTCATGTAATTCTGGTTGGTATGACGGTTACCGCTATTAAGTCTGCATGCACTGTACTCCCTTACTTGACCTCAGTGTGAAATTTATTTTGGAAGAAACAAACAGTAATACTGCTTTTCCTTTTGCAATTCTGTAAACCTTCCACTGAGATGACTTACGGCCCTCTGCAAGGCTGTAGCTCAAATTAAAGTGAGCAACTGTTTATTAGAAAAATTTGACAGGAGCGTAGTTGGGATATTGAAAAATAAAGAATTGTTACTTTTAATTAAACCACATTGAGGTTAGCAAGGATAACTTAGTTCTCAATGCTTTATATAAAGTGTATGAATTAGGTATGCAGTTTGAAACCAATTGACCAAAAAAAGGGCAAGCTGCCTTTGGAAAATGTGGTTGGCTCAATAAAATACGTGATTTTACATGCAGTTTATTCTCTCCACTAACTGATACTGCCAAACTAAATGAGTCTGTATAGAGGTTGAGTCCTATATGTAATTTATTTTTACAGGATGCCAACCTTACCACACCTAAATTTACATCATCCAGGAGATAAAGATGGGCTGCTCTTCTCTACAGGCGAGGTCTTCCCTGAGAAGTCTGCAGTCAGTTATGCCCTTTGAACTTAGGAGAGGTTTGTTGTAGTAACAGGACCAGCCAGCCAGACTGGTTGCTGCCTGTTGCATTGCTTGTCTTTTAGGTGTCCAGGCGGCGGGTGGAGAACAGACTCTTGAGAAATGGCATGTCTTAGCATCTTTTTCCAAATGCTCAAAATACAGTTACCTTTTTTTGCTAAATATTCAAGGACAAAGAGCCTAACATTTTGAATCAAAAATTATTTGGAGTATTGGTCGATGAAGGGGCAACTTTTAAATAGAAACAGAAAATCTAGGTTTAAGACAGAGATCAGCAGGCTAAGCAGTTTTGTGTGTAGACAGTCGAAGAGATTTTTGTCACAATTTAGTATCTGAGAGTAGGCTGTTAGATCTAATTACAAGCTCCGTCACATGGTGCACCCTGCAGCCCCAGCACTTCTCTGCTGACTAACCAACCCCCCTTCCATCCGAGGGTCACAAGTGCCCACTACTTGCATGTTTTGCTAGTTTGAATTTTCTTGTCTCTTCCCCTAGCAGGATAATCAGCTGGACCAATTGCCAATTATCAGTGTTAAAAAAGAAGTGACTTGTGTTTCTGGAGTTGCACCACTCGCTCCCAGGTGTGGGACTGCCCAGACCCCGAGGAGGAGCAGCCACAGCCAGCCCTCGTTTCCTCTTTAAGGAAAGGGCAGTGAACTGGAGATGACATGTCATCTTCAGCGTTCTCCTTCCCTCGTGCCTGCACAGCTGTAAGTCTGACAACATGCACAAGCTTGCTGAAGTAAAAAACATGAAGCACCTACCTGTTCATCCTGCTTGTAGGCCAGCCTAGCGTAAGAAACGGGCAGACAGCTTTCACACCCACACACAGCCCCTGACTGACTGGCCTTGCAGGCAAAAAAATAAAGGACATTTTTTCTTTCTGCTTCACCAGCATTCTTGCCCTCTTCCCATCTTCACTGTATGTGCCGGAACTTAGCTGACAACAGTGCTGTACTGGCAACGGGAAAATTCAATTTCTGCACACAGGTATTTTGGAAATAAGAAAAATCACAGTTCATTTTACTTGTAGGAGGCGGCCTTCAGGAGGATTTCTAGTGCTATCAGCCAGCCAGAGCATGAAGGGGGCAATCATCATCTTAGGGAGGCAAAACAATTTATTCTTGAGTGCTAACATTTCTTACAGGGTCTCCAAGAGTTAAGTAAAACCACAAAATGTTAAACCACGTGTTATTCTCTGCCCTTGAGCTGGATAGAGCAGAGTCAGGAATTGCGTATCACTTAGTGAGAGTACGATGACGATGACATGGTGGTATCATACATAATGAAATTACAGTATCATAAACGTAGTTTGTTTTCTGAGTAAGTCCCTGTGAAGAGTTCCCTGTCCTGAAATTTTCCTAGTATGACAAAAGTTTTTTCTTTTTCCTGCTTTTAGGAGTGGGCACAGATGCAGAGCGTTTGTGGGAAGTATGCTCAAATTGATGTGTTTTAAGGAGACTGATGAGGACAGAAGACACTCCAGGGAGAGCGAGCAGTATGAAAGCAGAAACAGGGAAAGACCGTTTTGTTCGCTATGTAGTGCTTGCTTAACAGAGTAAGATTCTGGACAACCACCTGGTCTCCGAGAAAGCCAAAAGGAAAAATAAATAATTCCACACAAAAGACATGATCCGTAAGATGATAGCCAAAAATCAGTACAGAGGATGGGCTTAACAGTTTTGAGTCCAGGAGGCAGAGGCTGGCTGTTAGGGACTACGCGGAGTGAGGACAGTGGAAGGAGAATGCATTTTAAAAGCTTAAATTTGAAGGAGTTAAATGGGAGGTGGGATTTCCAGGAGGAAATGAGAGGTGGGAAGAGAAGAAAAGCTTCAGGAGACTGAGGAAGCCAGTTAAAGATGGGGTTTTCAAAGATGGGGAAAGAAATACAAACTAGAAAATGGATCTGAAGTAAAAGGGGGAATACTATGGAAGGAATCATGACTTACAGAACATGTAAAGTGAGGGACATGGAGGAGGATGAAGAAACAGGCGCAACCAAGGATATGGAAGAGGAGACAAGCTTGTGCAGGTACTGCTTATTTTTGTTTAAAAACCAGAATACTGGGAAAAAATTCCCAGTAAAAATTGCAGGAATACTCAATTCAAGGTGGAAGTTAGAAGGTAATGCAAAGGAAGAGCAGGAAGAATAACTGTACTTCTGGTAATCTTGACACAATTTTTGAGCAAAATAATAGAAAATCTAGTAGTATTAAATGCAGTCAGTTTAGAACTCCAGGATAATAATTTCATTAAAGCTAAGCAACATGGTTTTTATTCGCCTGTCAAATATGATTACCTTTTTGAAGGGGCTGCAAAGGGAACGGCTGGCCTAGCATAGCTCATACATAGGATGCGTCTCCTGTTGGGTCGAGGTGCTTTGCTTTGGGAACCACCAGAAGCCAACATCCCGCATCACTGAAACACAATACCGAATTGTAACCTCCCAGAGTCCTTGTTAAGGGAAAACTGTTATAAACAGACTTCTACTGGGATTCTAAATGGCCAGTCAGCTATTTCTGAGAAAATAATTGACAATAAAATACAAAATTACCACTAACAGCATTTGCAAATCACATATACAGGTCTGTAGGGGAAAAAACCCTACCAATAACTTAACGGACCTAGTGGATAGTCAGTGAGCAGCTGAACACAGACGGGCTAATGTTCACCTGGGAACACAGAAGAGGAAGAAGAGTGTATTACTTACTCATGTTTCATTTATGAAATCATTAGTAAATGCTGTGTATACTTGGGTATACTTCAAAAAGGGAGTTGGAAATAATGAGAAAAAAAGGTCACAAAAGACAGAATCCCACTCTGTAGTAACGACGATGGTGTGATCTCGTCCTGTGTGAGAAGCTGAAGTGCAGTAGCTGAAAGCCGAAGTCAGACGACATACCAAAAACCAGATGCACGTTTTTAATAAGAGAAATTAACTGAGACTACTCACCAAAGGGTTGTAATGGCTGCTTCAGCTCTTGAATATTTTTAGATCGATAGGCGCGTATCTTCCTGAAGACATCTTAACCCAACCGCAAAATAGGAGGCTCAGTAGAAGACTTGACAGATGACTTCTGATGGTCATTATGTAAAAGTTTTGCTTAGAAGCTATTGATGATTTCTCTGAAGTTACAATCTATGGAGAAGTTGATCAGAAAGGGTAATAAAATCATTCCTAAAGAGAGTGAAAACATAATTATTTCATGGCTGAATAATAAGAAGACCAACTTAAGCACTCACCAGCATCAATATAGTGTCTGTAAACACAGGAATAAAAGTGCTAATAAAGGGGAATATAAAGTGTAAACTTTAAAGACTGAAATTACTAATTACAGAAGGTAAAACCAGTAGATTCAGAAAAGCATCCTATAATAGAATTGCAGAGAAGCAAATGATGCTAAATTACATTACATAGTAGACAGAATGAAGGAATTTGGAAGAAAAGACCAAGATGTATTATGAAGACAGTAGAAAAACAAATGAGCTAAGCAACTGGAAAATGAAGCTGAAAATGGAGTTTAATCAGATATTAAAACCAGTATCATTGACAGTCCAAAAGATCACATAGGAAATGGCTGTTGCTCAGAAGTACCAGGAGGAAATGCGACAGGGAAAGATGATAAAGTCATTCCAGCATTTCAGAGGGTGCAGAAGCTGGCGAGGGAGCGCGGCCGGATGGAGCGGGCCCCGGGGACGGCGAGAAAAAAGGAAGTCGGGTCTGCAAAGGGGGCAGGAGAAAAATACGACTTAACGCAGGTTAAAATTCGGGAAATGAAATGAAAAGTTCTCTGGGCTGCTGACACTACTTCACCTTCTAATGTAATGGGGAAAAAAGGTCAACCACCACCACTCCCTCTCAGCCACGTGACTGAACATTCATGCAAAGTAAACCAGAAAAGGACGAAGATTTACATCAATTATATACATTTCATCATCGAAGTCGTCTTTGATGAGAAATCCAAAGACTGAAGCAACATATTATAAACAAATGAAAAGTCATCACAATCAGTTTAATGAAGTGCACAGAATAGCAATCGATCATGTCAATAAAAATAAAACAATTAATTTTACATCAAGTGTGCTTTATTTCCTCCACAGGTATTCTGTTAAATAAAGCACCATATATATACTGCCAGGCCACAGCTAAAGAGGATTCTTTACAGAATCAAATTTCTTGTGGTTGTTTAGTATACAAGTAAACTTAATTTTGATAATAAGAACCACAGCGATCTGAGGCAATCTGCCTCTATTATAAGGTACAAAACTGGCACAGAGGACACCATATTATACACAGTAAAAATGCCATAAGTTTAAATTACATCATACAGGGCAAGGAGGCCCTGTTCTCCCAGACAGCCATATTAAATGAAAGCCACTACAGTGAACTCTTAATTACATAAAACATACCCATTATCTGATTGCCCTTTAAGAAAGTGTACGGTAGATGCAAAAAAAAAAAAAAGGAAAAAAAAAGAAAAAAAAAAAAGAAAAATCTGAGTTCTGCCTGACCAAGAATTAAGCATATAAATCTATCTTGCCATTCAAGCAGAGAGCACTGGACAAACTGAAGCACAAAACAGAAATAAGCAAAACTTATACAAACAGCATTTCGGGGGGAAGGAAAAAAAAAAAAGGACTTAAAAGCAGACATGCTCCATCTAATGTCAAGAAGCAGCTTGGTTTCCTTTTCCAGATATCCTTGTGACCACATGAATCGTAGACTCAATGGTCCTACACAGGATGTCTAAAATGTCATGCTGCTGCATGTGACTAAAAAGTCCTCTGGAATGGCCACAACTGATTGCTAAACTCGTTTCAGGGTCCTGGGGTGGTAAGGCTTGGCCATCGCAGCTTCGCAAATCTGCGAGGTCAGATAAAACTGCCGAAATCGATGTGAAAGGAAACTCTGAGTCCTCCTCGGCTCCAATGGAATCCTTGGAAGGCTGCAGGTCTTTAAATTCTTTGCATTCTTCAAATTTACCATTTCCTGACTGCTCTTCCGTGTGCTGTGACCGCGTCGCTAACATTATGTCTTCTGAAAATGAAGATGGGACTTCCATTCTGTACTCTTTGACAGAACTGTTCTCAGGGGAAGGAGGATCTTGCTCAGTGCCTGGATCAATGATCGAAGAGTCCCGTGTCTCGTTATCTGAAGTGCTCGTTGGGGTCAACGCCTCCCGGGGTTCAGTTTTTATATCACCGAGACAGCTATCGACAGTGTGCTCCTCATCACTGCTGACCCGTCTTCTCTTTACAGGAGTAGCTCCTTCATCGTCTGTAAGAAAAAGGAAAGCTCCCTTAGGGAAATGCTCATAAATTCTCGTACCGTACATCCAAGTAATGGGCCTTCCACATTCTTAGCCTTTTCCATACTCTATAGTACTTTATACAATACTTAGTTCCTTACAGAAAATTCATGCAATTGCCTAAAATTGTAGCTCCATAATAAAATAATATTTCTTGTGTAGCGCGGGGGATTGGAGCCAAGAATTGGCCCACCCTGCAGTGGTAAGAAAACAATGCGTTATGTTAATTTTGTGAAGGTTTGTGAAACCTTAGTTAGAGTGACACCGTTATAGAAGGCAAACCTTTAGTTTTTCTTTCTTTGGCTTCTTGCTCTTGTAATGAGTTCCTCTGTTGTTGACAAGTTCTACATTTGTTTAAAAGCTCTTGTAAAGTCGGAATCAGGGCTGAATTGAGCTGTTTGGGAGTGTGCACTGAAAGCAGCAAGGCAAGTGCGCGGAGGTCCTAAAAACACAGAAGTAAACAAAGTGAACTAGCCCTGTTTCAAACTCGTATTTGATTCATCCTACACACAGGGAGAGATCTGTGCAATAAGCAGAGGCTTCAACACGTTCTGAACATCCAAAAGATCAAATTCTAAGCATACTTACACTACTGAAATTCCCCACTCACGACTAATTCGCTGACCTGAACGTAGATCTGACCTAAGCAGATGACAACACTGCGCTGCTCCCTGTAACACGGAATCTTTTGCTGGGTTAGAACCTTTCCACGACTCACCCTACTGCACTTGGCATTACTTTTCTTCTCCCCACAATAAGCTGCCCCACACCCCCTTCTGTTCTTACAGGCCCCACCACCTGCTTGGGAGACCCAAGTGCGTAAGCTGTTTATGGGGGGAGAACGTGTTTCCATAGAAAATAAACTGCCTCCTAAATGATGCCGGTATAGGAATGGCTTCGAAAAAACTCACCCCATTTAAAGTAGAGCTTGCTTTGGAAATTTCAACCCTCTGGTTGCTGAAGTCAGATTCTAGGCTTTGATATTGATTTATTAGATTTGTAATTAGAGTATTGATTAAGGTGGCACAGTTTGCTTCAGAAAACACCTGCCCTTGGACCTGTGAAAAGAATGTATTTTTTTTTAAACCGCACAAAAAAATGGAACTGTGAAAACAGTATCCCAAACTGAAACAGCATATATGACACTGTTTCTTGAAAATCAAACTTATCGCTAAAAGACCACGTACCTTCAGAAGAAAATGGGTCAGAAAGGTGTATACAATGTTGTTGTTAAGAAAGGTCCTTTCATCCATCAGAATACATTTGATATATTCTGCAAAAACTGGATCTTCACAGAGGAGCTTTACACAGTTCTTTGACATTGTGGACTGGCGGAGAGAGAGAGAGAAGACTGCAAAGTCATCACGGGAAGTACGGCACTGCAGTAGCGCGCTCTGCGGCGGCTGTCTCAGCTGCAGACATCTGACCAGGCCCACTGATGCTCTTAATTCGTACTGCACCATTCTTACCGATAAAAATATTTTGGGTCTACTGGGTATCAGTAAATTGTACAAATTAATTATTGCCAATTATTTCACATTTTCCTTTTATGAAGTTTATTGGATAGGAATGCCAGTTGATCATGATCAGTTCGTATGTGAAGGGCCAGTGCCTCCCAACCTGCGAGCCAGCTACGGGGTCCTCTTGCAGAGGTGCAAAGGCCCCTCCTTGCAGTGGGCACACGACG